GCTGGAATTTGAATCCAGTCCTGTGTGACCCCAGAGGGTTGTCCCACTACCCTTGCCTACAAAGAGTCAGCCCTGTCACCTGGCGAAGCTCTGGGGAGCCAGCAGACCTGGTCCCTGGGAGTGGATGGATGGCACTGCCTGTGTTCCTGGTGGGGGAGTAGGGCCAGATTGTTCTGTGTTCTGGACAGAGCCTTGCTCACCCGCTGCAGAGCATGCCAGCCTCAGAGGATGAGGATGAATCACAGTAAAGAGGGCCAGCTTAGTCAGCACCTCACGCTGGTGTCTGGGCACCCTCTAGAGATGCTCCAGCTGTTCCCCTCTATCCCCTGTCCCTGACCCCCGACTCCAGGCTGCCAAGTGCAATGGTGCAGATTGTGCCTTGTGCAAGGTGAGTTGGAGCTGAAATCTAGCCAATGTTCTGCCTGCCAAGTTTTGTGTCTGGCAAGGTGCTGTATGTGTCCAGAGGATTCTGCAGACCATACTTTTTCCTAAGTGTGTGGAGGCACTACAGCAGGAGGCAGTTGGGTCAGGAGCCCTAGAAATTTAAACTTGGGTGCAGTCACCTTGCTGAAGGCCAGCTCTTGCCCAGAAGCAGGACCCTGGGCACATGCCGATAGGGATAGGCCTGTGAAGTAGGCAGGAAGTGCTGGCACCCTGATGCCACCCCTGGGCAGTGGGGATCTGCGAAGCTATTGTGCAGAGGAGGGGTCTGGGCCTGCTGTGGGGGCTGAAGCTGCAGTCCCTCCTGTGCCTCTTGTGCTGTTTACTTTGGGCAACTTCCCCTCTCCAGGCCTCACTTTCCTCACCTGTAATATGGACCAGCTGACCCCAGGAACATCCTGTTCCTTGTCTGAGCCTCTGTTTTCTGGAACCCAGTAATGATGATGGTGATGACAATCAACATTTCTTGAGGGCCTCCTATAGGCCAGGCTCCATGCTAAGTGTGTACATGGCTGACGTGATTCTCACAGTAACTCTCTGAAGTAGGCACTGTTTTTATCCCAGTTTTCATAGAAGGAAACTGAGGCCAGAAGTGAAATAGTCCCCCAAGGTCACAGAGTAAGTCAGCAGTGGCACCTGGATTTAAACCCTCACATCTGACTCTAGAGTCCAGCTTTTAACCCTTTCCCTGCCCATCCTCCCAGGCACGTAAACAAGGCAATCGCAGGTTCTGGTGCTCAGTGCTGTTCCTGGGCCAAGTATCCTCCTATCACAGGTGAAATGGGGGTGATGTGACCTGCTTCGATGGTCTAGATGGTCAGGAAGGGGCCCACCCCAGTAGTGCTCAGTGACCATGGGTCCCCTCCCGAAGGGGTTATGCTGCCTGCATTCTCTCTGGCCTGAGCACTGAGCATGCGTCTGTCACAGGTGGGTAGGGGGCATTATCATGAGCATCTGATCACCAGATATTAGAACTGGAGAGGTCCTTAGAGATCACCTGGTCCTGCCACATCACATATGGGGAAACTGAGGCCCAGAGAGAGCAAGTGACTGAGCCACAGCCTGACCCGGCAGAGCTGGGACAAGAACTAGAGGTCCTGTTGGCCATCCAGGTTGGACATGCCAGGTAAAGGGTGGGCAGAGGAGGGCATGGGTGGGCAGCTGTGGCCCTCAGCTCACCACAAGGTGAGGACATGAGTGGAACCTTTGGCTGGTTTGCCCCTTACAAATGTGTGCGTGCACCATAGAGAGGGGGGAAACACAAACACACACACATCCCAGCGCGAAGGGGGCTCATCATTTGGGCCAGAGTGTTGCTGGGCAGGCAGGCAGAGGGTCCTGTGGCCTTGTTTCCTGGTGGGCTGGTGTTTGGGACAGGTAGCTGTGCAGCGTGAACACAGGCTTTCCCACAGATCTGTGCCCCAGGCACCCTGAGACTGGCTCTGCCCTTCCTACACGTGTGACCCAGGGCACCTCATGGCACCTCTCTGAGCCTCTGTTTCCTCATTCATAGGTGGGATTACTATACATAGATCTTGGGGTTTGAAGGGACCAGCATGGTCCCAGGGTGTTTTGAGGGATTAATAAAGGAAAGGTGTCATCAGTATGATTTGCTGGGAGGACACTTTTGTTAAGTGATTAGGACTATGTGCTCTAGAGCCTTGCTGCCTGGGTTCTAAGCCCAGCTCAGCTGCTTCCTAGCAGCGCGACCTTGACTAAGTCACTTTACTTCTTGAACCCCAGTACCCTCATATGAGAAGGAGTAATAGACCCTACCCCTATTAGAGGGTCAAACCAGTCAAGGGTTCCATTCATGTCCTCACCTTGTGGTGAGCTGAAGGCCACAGCTGCCCACCCAAGCCTTCCTCTGCCCACCCCTCACCTGGCACATGAGAAGTGCTCAGCCATCCTGGATGGCTGATGAGACCCCTAGTTCTAGTCCTAGCTCTGCCAAGTCAGGCTGTGGCTCAGTCACTTGCTCTCTCTGGGCCTCAGTTCCCCCATGTGTGAAGTGGCAGGACCAGGTGATCTCTAAGGACATCTCCAGTTCTAATATCTATAGCAGGTTGTCCTGAGGATTCATTGAAATGACGGATATAAAGCTTTTAGCCTAGTACCGGCACACAGTAGGTACTCAGTAAACCACCAACTCTAATATTAGGTGACATTTATTGAGCTCAATGCTGAGCATTATTGGTGTCATTTTTACTATTTGCATTAGCAAACTTCTCTGCACCACTCGCTAGTCAATCAGCCAATCATTCAGACCAGCTGCCTCATATTCCACAGTAAAAGTGGAGGCTTAGAGAGTTGAAGTGACCAGCCCAAGGTCACACAGCCACCTTCTCAGTGCCCTGTGTGGTTTGGTCCAGCTAAGTCTGCTGCAGAGCCTTTGTTCCATGTGAGTGTCCCAGAGGGACTCCCCCTCTGCCCCTTCCTTCCCCATTACTCTCTGGAGCCAGCCTTGGAGCTTCAAGCTTCGTGAATGACTTGGTTTAGCACTCGGCCATTAAACGTTCATCTCTTACAATTTCAATCCAATTCCTATAAGTTTATTGGCAAGACGGGGTGTATTAGAGCTGCCAAATTTAATATATCAAGTGTGCATGTCTGAGACGTGGTTTCTCAGCAGTAATGAGAGAAGAGAGGTTTTATATGTTTTCATTTTGAATGACTGTCTGTTCCTGATCCCATTACAGCCCCTGACTTAATGGCTGCTGTCCCTGTCTGCCACAAGAGTGGCTTTCTCCATCAACCCGCTAGGCTGCTGGAACTATCCAGGAGGCTTCTTTGTCTCTGTGTCTCTCCCCAGCCTCTTCCTCCCGAGGCGCATTCCCCAGCCATCCGCTCTGTTGATCAGGTCCCAGCTTCAGCCTTATTTGCCAGGTCCTGGGAGTCTGGGGCTTTAGCTGCTGGCCTGGGCAGCTACCTTATAACCTTGGGGAAGTCATTTCCCTTCCTCCTCTGGGCCTCAGAAACCTGCTCTGTGAAGTGAGGAGTCAGATTGCAGGGCAAAAAGATGGTCTGTGCTCAGCCTTTACAGATCCCACTTGACAGCCCTGAGTGGACCTGTTCCTCCTCTGATCTTGTGGCACCAAACTGGAGGAACCAAGGGCTGGCCATGAGAGTCACAGAATTGCCATTCATCTTGGGCTGCAGATCTCCTGGGTCAGAGGTGGTGGCTGTTGTCACTGTGGCTGAGGGGTCTTTAGACCCTGAAATGTTCGCATCTCCCTCCATGACTGGCTGGGGACCTGTCTCCTTAGAATTTAGTAATCTCTTTGGGAAGCTTCTTTGTCCCTGCATCTCTCTCCAGCCTTTTCTCCCAAGGCACATTCCCCGGCCATTAGTACAAGTTGAGTATCCCTTACCCAAAATGCTTGGGACCAGAAGTGTTTTTGATTTTAGATTTTTTTGGATTTTGGAATAGTTGCAGAATAAATACTGGTTGAGCATCCCAAACCCGAAAATCCGAAATTCTCCAGTGAGCATTTCCTTTGAGCATCATGTTGGTGCTAAAGTTTGGATTTTGAAGCATTTCAGATCTGGGATTTGGGATGCTCAACATGTATTTGCTGCCTGAACCCTCTGCCTTTTCTAAGCCTTGAGCTGGCTATGGAAGAGAAGACACCCAGCCGTGTGATTTCGGGGGACCAAGGTTTGTGTTCTGCCTACCAGCTGTATGACCCTGGGCAAATCATCTCCTCCCTCTGAACTCCAGTTGACCCAAAGGGAAAATGGGAATGAATTTATTTATTCATCAAATACTTGATTGCCTACTCTGTACCATGCACCGTTTTAGGTGCCAGGACTCCAGCAATAAGCAACATAAACATATACCTGCCCTCATGGATTTATGTTCTTACTGGGTGAGAAAGACAATAAACACAGTGAGTAACTTGTTACTTCAAAGGCATAAGTGCTATGAGGAAAAGTAAAGCAGAGAATGGAGAATGCTAAGTGAAAGGTTCTGCAATTTTAAATGAAGTGGTCACGGAGATTACTGAGAAGATAATGTTTGAGCAAAGATCGAAGGAGTCAAGTGAGCAAGTGTGGCAGGTGTCTGGGGGACAGCTTCCAGGCCGAGGGAACAGCAGGTGCAAGTGGCATGTCCCTGGCATGTACAAGGAGCAGAGAGGAGGCCAGTGTGGCTGGCATGGAGAGAATGTGGAGAGGAGGTCAGAGGTCAGAGGTGTGGAAGGGGACTGGGGAGGCTGGCCAGGGGGTAGAAAGTGGTGGTTCTCCAGCCCGGCTACATGTTAGAATTACCTGGGGAGCTTTAAAAAATACCAGTGCCCAGGCTTCAGCCACTAAGATTCTGCTTTAACTGGCCTGTCTTGGAGGGTAGGCACCGGAATTGTAAAAGATCCCTCTGGAATGAGGCCTGTTAGGCCTTAATCATCAACCTGAGAAGTTCCTGATGAAGTGGGGGGCGGGTGTAAGCAAAGCCTTGGCTCAGGTCTGTCCCTCAGGGAGTGCCCAGTCAGGGCAGTGTGCCCAAAGCATTGGTGTGTGGCGTTTTCTCCAGTGGTCTGACCGAGTGCTTTATGGCTTCCCAGGCAGTGGCAGGACCGGGTGTAGGTGGCCATGGGGAAGCGATACTTCTGTGACTACTGTGACCGCTCCTTCCAGGACAACCTCCACAACCGCAAAAAGCATCTGAATGGGCTGCAGCACCTGAAGGCCAAGAAGGTCTGGTATGACATGTTCCGAGGTGGGTGCCCGCTGGCTCAGTGAGCCCTGCTCTTTGATCTTTCTTGTTGTGAGACAAGGAACACCATGGGTCAGTGACAGTCTGGGTCTGGGCTCTGTGAGGATCGAAAGAGAGGGAGGCCTGGGCCACTGGCCCCAGGGGCAGAGGGGCAGGCTGGAGCATGAGCTCTTTTCTCTAGCGACCTTGACCAGGACCTCTTTTTCACACGCAGTGCCAGGCTCTGGAGATACTGTGGCCAGGAAAAAGACCTCTCTGAGGAGGTGGTGTTTGAGCCAACAGTTGAAATATGGAGAAAAGCCAGCTACACCATTTTGGGCAGAGGCATGCAAAGAAGCAGACAGCTGTGAGCAATGCACCAGCTGCTCCCGGAGCAGAAGGGAGGGGTGTGGGCAGACCTAGCAGGTGACGGGGAGAATGGTAGGGGCCGAAGCTGGCTGTGTGGCAGGGATCCTGAAGGCCTGCAGAGGTCACAGTAAGAAGGGAACATTGCCCCAAGGACAGAGGGCAGCCTTTGGAGGGCTTTAGGCAGCGGCTGACGGGGTGATCCAGCTATGTGGTGGGCAGCAGGTGCAGTAAATGCTGTTGAATGACTGACTGGAGGAATGGATGAATAACCAAGCCGCTGGAGGGAAGGCTCTTCTGGGAAAGGCTTTTCAGAGCAGTTGCAACCAGGGCTAATGTGCTGAGGTTGGAAGCACCTAGCACAGAGACTGGTGCCTGGGAGGTGCCCATAGAGGTGTGCTGTGCTGCTGCACAGCTGTCACTAGATGTGCACACTGAGGAATAGCCAGAGAGGGGACAGAGTGTGGCCAGGCAGGAGCTGGATCAAAAAGAGAGGGAGCTTGGCTGTGGGGTGGGCGTGGACTAGGAGCTCCTGGAATGAGCTGGGGCCAGACCGATGCCCCACAGTTTGGGGAGGAGGATTCCAGGACAGGGTCCAGTGCCTGGAAGGAAAGAACTGAGTTCCGGCAGCCAAGAGGGAGGAGAAGGGGAGAAAGAGAGAGTTCTCTGGTCTGAAACTTGGAATTCACAAGAAGAGAGTGACTGTTTATTGAGTGTCTGCTGCATGCCGGGTACTTTCTATGGTTTGTCATTTGCTTTTTTAATAACTCTCTAAGACAGATGTTCTCAGCCCTGGCTGTGGGTTAGGATTCCCTGGAGACCTTTAAATAAAAAGCACTGAGCTTCTGACCCCATCCCCACACGCAAGTTTGGTTGGGGTGGGGACTAGCCATGGCATTTTTATCAGCACCGCACTCTACCGAGTGAGCCACCGGCCGGCCCTTAGCCATGGCATTTTTTTTTTATTTTATTTTTTTTAAAGATGACCGGTAAGGGGATCTCAAACCTTGGCTTGGTGTTGTCAGCACCACCCTGAGCCAGTGAGCCAACCGGCCATCCCTATATAGGATCCGAACCCGTGGCCTTGGTGTTATCAGCACCGCACTCTACCGAGTGAGCCACCGGCCGGCCCTTAGCCATGGCATTTTTATCAGCACCGCACTCTACCGAGTGAGCCACCGGCCGGCCCTTAGCCATGGCATTTTTATCAGCACCGCACTCTACCGAGTGAGCCACCGGCCGGCCCTTAGCCATGGCATTTTTATCAGCACCGCACTCTACCGAGTGAGCCACCGGCCGGCCCTTAGCCATGGCATTTTTATCAGCACCGCACTCTACCAAGTGAGCCACGGGCTGGCCCAGCCATAGCATTTTTAAAGCCCTTGCAGACTCTCCCCATTTCAGATGAGGAAGCTGAGGCTCAGAGGCTCAGAAGAGGGAGGGTGGCCAGGCCTCTGGGCAGGCCAAGCATGGCTGTGGTTGTGAGGGGCTGGAAGTGGAGGCAGGGGGCAATTCAGTGGCAGTGAGATCTTCTAGGTGCCTGAGAGGCCTCTGACCCTGGTGTTATGCAAAGGCTCCCTGTCCCCCAAATCCAGTGGGGGCTGTGATCTGGCATGGAGCTGGACCAAGACCACCTTGGTGTTTGCTCCTAGTCCGAGACTCTCAGCCAAGAACAGCTGTGTCCTGGGGTCCAGGGCTGATGGGCAGAGGTCCTTGTGTTACTTATAGAAAAGTGAAAGGCAGGTGTCCTGAGCCCCTCCTCAGGGCTCCTGCATTCCCAGTGTCCTCTCATCTGACACCCCCGACCACATTCAGTCCTTAGAACAGCTCTGCAAGGGAGGCTAGGTGGGCTACGGGTCCCCATTTATAAGTGATGACTTTAAAATCCAGAGCAGTGAATTTCCTCACCCTGAGTCCCCAGCTGGTGATGACCAGGCTAGCATATAATCTCTTTCCACTTCCTCAAGAGGCCTCCTCAGGGCACAGACTTTGGAAGGCAGCTGTGTTAACCATTAGACCACCAATGCCTCGGTTGCACAGACTTTGGAGAGGCACCATGTGCCCCAGCCTGGGCTGGGACTCGACATGACACCTGCTCTGCCCTGAGCTTCATGGCCTTGGACAAGTCCCTTGGCACTCAGAGGGGCTGATGATCCATTGGCCATGGTCAGGACAAGGGCAGGCCCTGTAGCCAGGCTGTCAGTCTTAAGGTGTCATACACTAACAGTGTGGCCCTAATTTTGTCATGTGTAAAACATCCATAACAACAGTACCCACCTCCCAGGGATGTGACAAAGGCTCAGTAATCTCATGATGACTGCATGGCACATAAAGGTTTACTAAGTAGGAATGATGCCTATGGGTACTAAAAGGATTGGCCTCAGGCCCTTTGCCTATTCGTTCACTCAATGTTTGGTGAGCACTTAGCACATACTCAGCTCCCTGATAGGCTCTGAAGATAAAACAGGCCCCTCTCCTAAGTGACTTTGCGGCAGTTACAACAATGTGTTCTGGGCAGAGCCCCTGTGCTGTGTAGGCCTCCGTACCCTGCTGGCCTCTCCCCTCTGTGGGCATGCCCTTCCTGCTGTCCTCTCTGCCCCAAGAGAGGTCCCCCCATCTCAGAACTCAACTCAGGCAGCAAATCCTCAGGGATGCCCTTCCCAACCCCTGGGCTAGGTCAGGGCATTTGGCTTCATGCTAGATGTTTACCCCGTTTATAACCACATGGATTAGTATGACTGTTGGACTGGAAGGAAGGACCGGCTCTGACTTGTTCTCCACTTAAATCCTCATCCTGGCACGGTGCCTAATGCACAGGACGTGCTCAGTGAATGTTTGTTAGATGAACGTCTAAATGAACGAGCACACAAACATGGGGCACCAGGGGCAGCTGCTAATTTTGGGAGATGAAGCGAGAAGGACCAATAGGGTCAGATCACGAGGAGCCTTGAATGCCAACCAGAGGAGCAGGGCTTTCTTGTGCCCGGGGTTCTCAACCTTGGGTACACTTCAGAGTCACTGAGGAGCTTTTAACAATTCTGATGCCTTTCCCCTCCAACGAAGTAAAGCAGAACCTGAGAGGGGTGGGTGCGGTATCCATGTGCTTTGAAAGCTGCCTGGTGATTCTGATGTGTGGCTGGGTTGAGAACCACCGGCCAGATACTAGACAGCCTGGAACTCTCCTCTCATGCTGAACCACCCAGCCAGGCCCCTGTCTGGGACTCGGGCTCAGCCCCTCTGCCAGTCTCAATTGTCCTAGCCTTAGGGAAGTCCTGGGCAATGTCCACATGCCTTCCACCAGCCCACCTGCCCTAGGTAGGGCAGGCAGGGTATGTAGTCATGTCTGTAGCACTAGCTGGGTAGGCTGAGTCTGACAAGCCCAGTGCTGACAGATGGACCCCTCCCCACCCCATTGGCCCCACCCATGGCTCGGGCCCTCCCTGAAGTGAGTCCTTTGCTAACCCTACTCCACCAGACCACCCCCACCCCCAGCCACCAGCTTCCCTGCCCTGGGCAGGGCAGGAGTCCCCATCAGCATGGGCCTTTACCCAGCCACCGGGAGATCAGCAGCCACACAGGGCTGCTTATCAGAGCATGGGCTTTAGTCTGCCACACACTAGTGTTGAAGACTGGCGCTGCCACTTTTGGCAGATCATTTCCCCTGTCTGAACCTTAGTCCCCATCTGCAAAATGGGGATGTTAGCACTGTGCATCGGGTTTGTGAGGAGGAAATGAAATAAGAACTGGTGCATGTTAGTGTCACCTGGGGAACAGGATGCTGAGGCCTGTCTGGCTCCAGAGGCTGATTTTGTTGTTACTTTTCCGGTTATTCTAATGTGCTGCCGGGGTTGGGAGCCACAGGTCTCCTCTGCCAAGCACACTCAATCCATTATCTTATTAAATTTTCACAGCAGTCCTGCCAGGTGGGAATTTTCCTCCCATATTATATGAGGAGAAACTGAGACTTGGTGAGATTAAGCAGCTTGCATGTAGTCATGTGTAGATGGGATGTGAGCTTAGGTTTCCTGGACTCTGAAGCCCGTGGTCTTTCCTCTACCCCAGTGGCCTCTAGAAAAGTTGTGGATGAGCGTCCAGCCCAGCCCTGGCCTCTCCCCTCCTCCGGGGCCTTTGAATCAAGGCACCGACCTCAGGTGTCTTACTCACAGATTTTGACTGATAGATACCTCACCCACCAAGAAGTACACAGAGCTTAAAACCATAACTATATGATGAAAGTAGAGGTAAGAAAATTCAGAGGAAACCAGGGCTAAGGTTAGTATCCAGAATGATTGACAGAAAGTTGCATCCAGGGCAGGTCTGGCTCTGAGTGCCCCGCAGCTGGTGTAAGGAGGAGAAATGGAGAGCAGGGTTGCAGTCTTGCCAGTGGAGCAATGCCTTGACCCTAGGACAGGCTGGTGGGCTTCCTGGGCACCAGGATTTTTTTTTTTTTTTTGCTTTTTATTTTAAAATAATTATAGATTCACAGGAAGTTGCAAAGACAGTCCAGAGAGGTCCCATGGTACCAGGATTTAAAAAAAAAAAATTCCCCGAGTGATTCCATTGTGCAGTCAAGGTCTAGAACCTCTGACGTAAAGCCTGGTTCTTGCCTTTGGCTGGTCCTGGGTGGTGGAAGGGGTCAGGTTCACCGGAAGCTTGGTTCCCTCTGCCAGCATCCCCACCTGTGGTTATCCCTTGCTTACACTCCTTCGTAAGTGGGGAGGTCTTTTCTCTCCTCACAGCTGTGTCTGGCTGAAGTCCCTGCCCCTGTGGCTTCTACCTCCCACCTCCCTTGGTAGAGCCATCTGAACCCCGTTCCTCTCTTCTCTTGCAGATGCGGCTGCCATCTTGCTGGATGAGCAGAACAAGCGGCCCTGCAGGAAGTTTCTACTGACAGGTAAAATGCTCTGATCAGCTTGGGTCCCTTCAGGAACCAGCAGTGCCCAATCTGGCCTGCCTGAACCTCTGCAGAATGTCTCCCTCCACCCTGGCCATCAGCCAAGCCTGCTTTGCAGCCCTGGCTTCAGTCACAGCCTTCCCAGAGTTGTGACAGGGCCTGATTCTCAGCTCTTCAGACCTAGAATGTGATCTTATCAGCTCACCCAGAACAAGCAAGCACTGAGAGATTGCAAGGAAATCCAGGAGACACTGATGGATGTACTAGACTAGCTGGTTAAGTTAGCCTGGGGGCCCGACCTCCTCTATGGCCTCCTTCCCAGCAGGCAAGACTGGAGGCAATAACAGGCCCAATGATCTGAGGAAGTTCAGAATCAGAACCCAGGATGGGGCTGGCTGGTTAGCTCAGTTGGTTAGAGTGCAGCCTTATAACACCACGGTCAAGGGTTTGGTTCCCAGTACAGGCCAGCTTCCCCACCTGCCCAAAAAAGAACCAAAGATGCTAGGTGTTGATTAACTGCTTACGATGCAGCTAATAAAGATGTATATAGCTCAAAGAGAAAAACCTCAGTAAGTGAAGGAGCCAAAGGCAGGTGAAAATAAGGGCAGGAAAAATAAGACAAAGCCAGGAGAATAATGAGTCTCTTCCATGCTTGCCCTTGAGATCCTGTGTACTCTCTAAGGGTTTGGCCCTGAGCTTCCTGGTAGCCAAGGCAAAGAGGGATACCCTGATTATTCACATGGTTTGTAAGGGAGCTTCACATGGGGGAGAGGTAATGCTGTTGAACCAGGGAAGCTGGATGAATGGCTGTGCTCCCATCAGGAGATGGTGCTGCCCCTAGAATGGGCACCAGGCCTGCAGATCAGGGGCTTCCCTATAGACTTCACCTTGATGGGAATACGCCATTGGGAGGTGATGCTGGCTTAGGACACCTCCAGTCTCCAGTTATTTTGAGACACATTTTGGTCTCCTCAGTTGAAATTGGGAAAGCCACCTAGACGTTGGTACCTCCTTGGCAAAGCTGCCATTGAAGCCTTTCCGAGGAGCAGTCCAGCTGCTTGTGTGAGTCAAGTGGGAAGGTGGGGCACCAGCCTTTGCAATGGCCCAGCATGGGGAGAGAAAGCATGACCCTTGTGGGGACCCATGTGTAGTCCACTGAAGCTGGGGGACACACAGGATAGGAGCAGGAGGTTAGTGACAAGAAACAGCCTGCAGAGGCTTGTGCAGGCCAATCATGACATGTTTCAGCTGGATTTGATCCCCAGCTCCAGGGGCTGCCAGAGAAGGGTCGTGAGCAGGGCATGATAGACCAGACAGGTTGCTGCAACTGCTGGGTTAGTGTGGGGCCACAGAGAGTCCAATTTTTTGTTCCAGACTGGGGTTGCTAATCTTTAGGCCGAAAAGTTCTTTCCCTAAAAGTCTGGAACCCCTCATCTGGGAGCCCTGCAGCCAACAGTGGGAACCCTTCCTGAGCAGCAAGTAATTCTGTCTTCCCATTGCAGGCCAGTGTGACTTTGGCTCCAATTGCAGATTCTCTCACATGTCAGAGCGAGACCTGCAGGAGCTGAGTATCCAGGTGGACGGTGCGTGTCAAGAGGTACCCTGGGCTAGGCAGGAGTGGGGTGCTGGGGGTGTACAGGGTCTGAGACCAGGGAAGCTGCCCTGTGCCTCCCCACCTCCACGTCATCAGTAGCCGCCATATGGGGTAGGCCAAGTGATGCCCAGGGTAGTGGGGGATCCCTGAGCCCCTTGGTTTGGGGTGGGTGTTAGGAACAGCCTCTAAACTGCCCCTAGGCAAGAGTGGAGAAGGAGCAGGACTGTGTCCCTTGAAGGTGAAGCAGGCGTGGCTTCCTGCCCAGGAGCCCTGAGTGTGCACCTCAGCCCCGCCTGCACCCTGCTGCTACCCTGGCCTGTTCGTGGATGTTCTCCCTCCCTCGCTTATTCAGGCTGATCCCTTAAGACACACTGGGGACAAGGGAAAGAAGAAAGCTCCTTCGCTGCCCTCAGGATTCTTATAGGCTAGTGATTCCAGGGAGGGGCACATTTAGCTTCCGTGGAAACTGGTGTGTCTACCTTTGGGAAATTTACTTCCTACTTCTCCAATTAGAGAACAAGGAAATTCCCACTTCAGTGGTCTTTGTCAGTCTTCTCCCACAACCCCTCATTGAACAGGTGGAGAAACTGAGGCCAGTGCTTGGGCAGAAGGGCCTCAAGTAAGCCCCCCAGCATGTTAGAAGCTGACTCCGAGTGTTCCAGGGTGCTGCTGCTCACTCCTCTCTGTCTAGGTGGCCATGGAGCCTCAGGCTAGTGTCTGGGCAGCTTGGCCTTGCCCTCGTCCCCCAGTGGGCCTCGCTCCCCTCTCACTACCCAGACTCTGCAGGCCCCGTGCCCTGTCCTGGGGAGCTGATGGTGGTGTGGCTGCAGCCTGGCACCGGTACAGTTTCCAGGAGCTTCCCTGGGACCGAAGTAAGGCCTCATGCAGCTGGCCAGAAAGACCTGGCAGCAGCAGCGTCTCCAGCTCTTCGCTGGCCACGGACTCTCAGGGAACAGTTGGCCCATGGTAGGGTGAGCACAGGCTAGTGGATCTGGAGCTGGAGACAAAGCATGGGGGAGACAGATTGGGAGAGGCCCAAGGGAGCTGGAAGCAGAGGTGTGGCTCAGCTGGCTTTGCCACATCCCCTGTAACCATGACACATGGCTTAACCTCTTGGAGGCAGTGTCCTGACTGTCAAACTTGACTGCTTGGGGAGATGAAGCAAGATGACGCCTGTGCAGCATCAGCCCAGGGCCTGTCCCCAAATAACCACTGCTCCATGAGTGTGATTATTTCCCTCTGACTCAAGGCCCATCCCAGACCACCCAGAGACTCTGACTCTGTCACATATTCACACCCAGTTAGTATGAGCTCCATTCAATGCTTCGTTTTAATTCTGTGAGTAATGGTTTTTGTAGGATGTTTTAGGGGAAGAAAAATCAGGAAAACTGAGGCTCATTACCTCGCCCAGGGTCAGAGACCTGGTACATGGCAGAGCCAAGATTCAACCTGTTCTATAGCCCTCCCAACACCGCAGATTTGGACCCCTGCTGAGGACCAGGCTCTTTATTTTTTTTATTTTTACTTTAAAAATTTATTTATTATTATTATTATTATTATTTTACATTCTAAGATGGTGTGGAGCGGTTAGGGGGAGGGGAGAGGGGAAAGGGGAAGAGGATACAGTCGGAGGAAGAAGGAAGGGGGGCATGGTCAAGGCCTGTGGCACCCCCCTCATTCTGGCAGGGGAGCCCAGGGGGCTTCCGGCAGTGGCTCCATCGTTGCTGGGCTAGATGTAGACTTTGTGGGGGGGCAGGCTCTTTATACACATTGTCCCGTTGCCAACTCCCCAAGGTTTGGGAGGCAACCAGCATTGTCTCCATTTGATAGGGACACAGTGTGAGGCTGGGGGCACTGGGCTTTGGTGCACAGAGGGCCTGGGTGGTGGCAGCATGGTAGGGACAAGCCAGTGGCCCTGCTCCTGGCCTCCCAGCCTGTGTCTCCCCAGGATGTTGCTGCAGCATCCCAGGGCTTGTCCAGAGCCTCCCAGTTCCTGCTGCTTCGTGGGAGGGCCAGACAGGCATGAGTGTACCTCTCACTTGCTTTTGTCTCCCTATCCCGTACAGAGGAGAGGCGGGCCAGGGAGTGGCCACTGGACATTGCTGAACTCCCTGAAGGCAATCTGGAGGACTGGCTGGAAAAGAGAGCCAAGCGGCTGAGCTCAGCCCCAAGCAGCAGGTACAGGCCCCAGGGTCCCCTCCTCCTGGGCCCGCTGGAGGCAAGATCCCAGCCAGCCTGCCCTTCCCAGAAGCTGAGGGATCTCCATGAACTGCCCAAGCCCGGGGACCAGGCACAGACCCCCCAACACACAGAGCTCCCTGAGGGTTGGGGGCTCTTGGGTAGAGCATCAGCTAGAGGCTGAGGAGGTATGCCTTTGAAGTTGCCTATTCCTGGGCCTCGTTTCCCTGCTTTTAGTGGCTCGTCCCTTTATTGGAGTCTGTGCGGGCTGCAGGGGAGGCAGGTGGCCAAGTGGATTTGACTCCACATCACCAGGTTCACTGCTGGGGGGGGGCGGAGCTGTGGGTAACGAGCCCCCAGTGCACTAGGCATTGTGCACCTGCTACCTGCTGTCCTCTCTAGGTCCCTGTAGAAGGGGAAACTGAGGGTCCCAGGAGGAATGTGACTTGCCTAAGGGCACATAGCTAGGAAGAGGCAGAGACGGTATCATACAGTAGTGTGACAAGGTCATTGTCCCACTGCTTCCCCTAAGGAAGAGGTTTCGGGGTGGGCCCAGCACTCAGGGTGCTAGGAAGTGGATGGGGAGCCTTCACCTCTTATACAGGGAACTTGCTGGGTGAGGGCCCTCAGGGTGTGTGTTGTGTGCCATCCCAGGTCTTCCTCTTTGAGGGGAGGGGCTCAGCCCACACTTTACACCAACAAACTGAGGCACAGGGGCAGGCTGGGGCTTCCAAAGGCCATGCATCATCACAGCCAAAACCAAAGCCAAGGCTCCTGGGCTTTTCCACCAGGTATGGAAGGAGATAAAGGGGAGGGAAAGGTCTAATGAATGTGCTCCCAAGCTGCATGTGACTTGGTACAGGTTGTCCGCCCTTGTCCAATGCCTCTCTTGCAGTGGGGCTTCAGACCCCATTATCTCTGTAGTGTGGCCTCATGGGACAGTGGCCTCATCTGGGCCAGGGGAGCCTGGTCAGACAGTCTGTGGGCTGAGGCCTCCCTCGGGCCTTCACCAGGAAGTGAAGGCCAAGCTTCTTGCCTTCTCCATGCCCCAGTGAAGAGGTTAAAGTATTTTAAAATTAACTGTGTATTTTACCTTTATTTAAAATCTGTGACCAGTTTTTGTCCCCCAACCCTAAAAATATATAGTACAGATGTGACTCACATGCTGGAGTGTGATGTCCCTTCCTCCTGGTCCTGTCAGAAGGGCTTATGACTTTGGTCATGTGGGTGTCCCCCTTGGGGCTGTCCAGGGATCATGTCCTGCACCCCAGGCTCCTTCAGCCCAAGTCAGAGGGCTCGGGGCTGTCAAAGGATTTAGTCCCCTGCTGCCAGCACAGACTCCAGTGAGGATATGGGCCACTAAAGCACAGAGCTCTGGGACATCCCCACTGTCCTGAGCCCACTTTAGTTCAGTCTCACCCCTTTGCCACTCCAGGGACCTGGCCTCATACGGGTCCCTTCCATGCTCTGCTGCTTACTAACTGTGTTGTGCTGGCCATCCACCTCCCTGCTCTGGCTCTGGGAGTCCTCCTCTGGGAGTGAGTGACATAGGCTTGGGTACCTCTTGGAGTACCTCTTAGGGCTGTGATGAGGGTTCAGGGAGACTCTATAGATGGGCTGGAGGAGCGCCCGTGGGTGGGGTGGAGATGGGGTTCCCCAAAGTCCCTGCCTGGGTGCAGATAGATGTGTCCCAGCGCTAACTTGGAATGCTGTGACTATGAAGCTCAGAGGACTAGGACACAAGATGGGGAAACTGAGGCTGAATGACTGGCCCCGAGTCACAGGTAGAAGTGGTGACCACATGATAATTTGGTTTGTCTGGTGCTTACAGTGTGCCTACCACTCAGCCCTGGGCATTTAGGGAGATTGGCACCCTCACTTTGCAGCTCAGGAACTTTAACCTCCCCAAGAGGTTGTCTGTCCTGGTTACACACCTGCTGCCCTTTGCCATCACTTGAGAGAGAGCTAGGCCCCTGCTCCATGTCTAGACCAGAGGCTGCCTCTGTCACCATGTTCAGAGCTGGCAATGGCCCTGTCCAGCCACAGGTCTGAGTGGCACTGGCAGCAGCTTGCTGCCAGGATGGCAGTGGCTGTTTCTGGAATGGAATCTGCAATTGAGGCCCATCCTAGTCCCTAGGGGATCTCAGCCCTGCCCCCCAGGCTGCACTCCCTCGGGCCACCCAACCTGGTCACTTCCAGGGGATATACTGTCTTGACAGCCACACCTGCCTGTCCACCTGCCTCCTGTCCACCTGCCTGCTGAGGGCTCAGAGCCACAATGAAATACTGTCTGGGCTGAGCAGGACTGTGTAGCTGTGAGAAAAAGAGGTTGTTGGGAGGGAGGTGACCATGTATTCTTCCTTTTGCCATTGCCGCCTCGGGCTTCCAAAGCCCTCTTCCTGTAGGCTGTGAAACATGACACCATTCCCTGAGGCCCTGGGCTTTGGGTTCTGCCCCTGCATCCATGGCCTTTGCCCTGCAGAATGGGGAGAGGTGGATTCAAGCCCCCGGCTGTCTCACTCTGTTCCCCCTCTCCTCGGTTACACTGGAGGCAGTCCTGTGTGCCCTCTGTGCCCTTCATCCACACTGGCTCTCCTACGCGGCCACAGCAGCCCCCTCCCTGGTCTCCCATGAGAGGCACAGGGGCAGGCTGGGGCTTCCAAAGGCCATGCATCATCACAGCCAAAACCAAAGCCAAGGCTCCTGGGCTTTTCCACCAGGTATGGAAGGAGATAAAGGGGAGGGAAAGGTCTAATGAATGTGCTCCCAAGCTGCATGTGACTTGGTACAGGTTGTCCACCCTCGTCCCATGCCTCTCTTGCAGTGGGGCTTCAGACCCCATTATCTCTGTAGTGTAGTCTCCCCTCTGCTCCTACAGTTCATCTTACAACAGCCCTAACACACCCCAACCCTGGCCCTGACCTGCCCTGCCCTGCTTAAACCCTCCCTAGGCTTACTCCAACTCAGGAGGACCTGGACTGCACAGCCCAGCTTGCAGGACCTGGGGGCACCTCTTTGCTGCTTACCTGGCCCGTGGGGGTCACCTTCTCACCTCTTTCATCTGGCCTCTGTGTCAGTCGCACTGGATACTTAGCAGCTTCTTAGATGTGGCGGTCATTTGTGGTTTCGGGCACCTTGTATGTGCTGTTTCCTTTGCCTGAAACTGCCTCCCCACTTTCCCTGGCAAAGTCAGACTCTTGTGGAAGCTTTAGCTAAGACATCACCCTTCCAGCCCCTCTTGCCCCTCACTTGAGCAGGTGTGGGTGGGCCCAGGACATACTAACTGCATGAATGAGCATTTAGGGGAGCAGGGTCCCTGGCCTGGATGACTGTTACCTGGGTGTTAGTGCCGTGGGCCATTTGTGGGGATGGTCTGGGGACCTCAGGAAGTCCCTCTTTCTCTCTGGCTGTCTGTGTCCTCACCCAGGGCACAGATGGCTGCCTGGGGCAACCCAGATCTGAGGGCTGCAATCCCCCCAGGTTGAGCAGAGCCCCCCAGGTGAGCCAGGCCAGCCCTCTTTGCACATATAGAGAAATGGAGGCTCCAGAAAGCACTGGCCTGGTGGCACTGTGCCCACCCCCTCAGCAGACTGACCCTGAGGATCTGCCAAGAGCAGACAGTGGCAGCAGGAGGGAGAGGCTAGCTTCAGACATGCAGACTAATCCCCGGGAGAAGCTAGTGCTCGGCCCTGCTTCTCATTGTTGGCTCTTCAGATTGTGACTTTATCCCTCTTAATCTCCCTTTGCACCCCTCTCTGGGCCAGTGCTGCTGTTCTGGCCCATCCACCTCCCTAAGACTCTACTTCCTTCTGATTAGGACCATGGTTGGGGAAATGCAAGAGAGCTGCTCCTGTTCTCGTGCACAGGGCAGAGAGGCCACCAGAGAAGCCACAAGAGTCCATGAGCAGAAGTGTGCCACATGCACACCTCACTGTCCCCGTCGACTCTGTGTAGGGCTAGAGGGGTGCACTCTAAGGCTCAGAGGCTTGCATGACTGGGGCCCTGGCAATGTGCCAGTGTCTGTGAGCCGACTTGAGAGACTCCACCCTTCTCCTGTCAGGGGGCTTCAGGGTGGGCAGGGGCACTGGGCTGAGCCAGACTTGGCCAGCAGCTGGGGCATTCCCTTTTAGCAACTGTGGAGCCTCCCCATTCCCACCCTTCTCTGTGGATGGTAGAGTTGTCGAAATCTTCCCAGTGCTATAAATCTTGTTGAGAGCTGCTTTCTGTGCTTTCCAGCAGGCAGCAAGCCATTGAGCAGAGGATGTCCCTGTCCTGTCACAATGGGAGGCCATAGAGGCTGCACTTAGGGCTCCCTGAAGTCCTCGACTCTGTGTGGCAGGTCAGGCCCAGAGAGAAGCAGGCTAGGTGGGTAGAGAGAAGCCAACTCCCAGGGCTCCTGACCCCAGCCCCTCACCTCCACCTCTCAAGGCCTCTCCAAACCTCTCACAGATGGCCCAGGCCCTTCTCTTTCTGCAGAGGGCTAGCCACGGGGCCTTGGAGCCTGCCAGGACCTGTCAGGGCCTCCCCTTCACTGAAGGTTGGAAGGCAGGGAGGGGTGGAGTACAGTGCTGCTGGAGCAGGGGGAGCTGAAGTGGAAGCAGGCAGTGTCTGGAATCGATGTGTGAATTGCATTCCAGCCCCTCATCCCTCATCCCGTGTCACTTGGACATATCACTGACTCCTGGCACCTCAGTTGCCTCATCTGTAAAATGGGCTTCATGTGAGGATTCTTGAGGTTTCTCTAGGTCATGGTGTCTGGCCCAGTATGGTACCTAGTCAGTAAGAGCTCTCAGTATTACTGTGTGTCAGTCAGCAGTCACTGGGTGGCTTCCTCATGCCAGGACTGGCTCTGGGCACTGGGGTACAGATAGGGCCTATCTCTCCCTGCTGGTCTCCACCCTCGGAGAGCCCCAGTCCCATAGGGGAGACAGATGAGCTCTCAGGCGAGTTCAAAGTGCTCAGAGGTTCAAGGGCTTTGTAGCCTGAGAAGGGCACTGCAGCCCTGGGGCAGCAGCCCGAGTAAGGCCGGAAGGATCTGAATGTGGAACAGTGGAGGGGTGGAGGGAGGCTGCCTCTGGGCCTCCCTGGACCTTGGTCAGCTCCCTTCGGACAGGGTGCCCCAGGCTGGGCACAGAGGACGTCTTTCCACAGGCAGGCACTTCAAATGGGCCCTGAATTCTGGGGCAGGTGGCTCGGGGGAAGGTGGATGCTGAGGAGGAGGAGAGTGAGTAGCATGAGAAATGAAGCTTTTAAAAAAAATTTAGACAATATTTTTTTCTGATTTCAAAGGCTTGTGTGCTTGTAAAACTTTTTGAAAGTATAAAGAAGTAAAAAAACTCACCCATAATTGCACCACTGAGATAGAACCACTTAACATTTTGCTGTCTCTCAGGTTTTTTTAATGTATTTATATATGTTATATATCTTTAAACAAAAATAGTATCATGCTATATACATTATTGTATAAGCTGATTTTTCTCCCTATTCACATAGCATGTCTTTCCCCATCAGTGCATATAAGTCTGCCTTCATTTTTCCACAGGCTGCATAGCATTCTCTGCCGTGGACGTGCATATGTACTTAGTCAGTCCCCCACAAGTAGATTCCAAGGTTATTTCCATCATCTTGGCCATTCTTATAGCTCAATATCTGCCTCCAACCCCGCTATTTCCTTGGGCTCAGTCCTTAAAGGTGAGGTTGCTGGCTCAAAAGGTTTGCATGTTTTTGAGGTTCTGCCTTCCAAAAAGATGGTACAGCTGACTGGTGGCTCACTTGGGAGAGTGTGGTGCTGATAACACCAAAATTAAGGGTTCTGATCCCCATACTGGCCAGCCACCAAAAAAAAGTAACAATAATAACAAAGAGGTGGTGTAGGCAGCTGACCCTCCCCACAGCCAAGGTGGGGGGTGCCCCAGCCTGGGCCGTGCCTCACTCTTACTCTCTGCCCGTCTCCTTCTCTCTAGGGCTGAACCCATCAGAGCCACCATCTTCCAGTACCCTGTGGGCTGGCCACCAGTCCAGGAGCTGCCCCCATCCCTGCGGGCTCCCCCACCCGGGGGGTGGCCCCTGCAGCCCAGAGTCCAGTGGGGCTGAGCCCTCACCCCTGCCTGACCGCACCTGGTCAGCTCTCTCATCAGTCACAATAAAGACAAGGGCTTATACGGGGGAGGCTGAGCCCCTTCCTGCTGCACTCAAAGGAGCCTCTCAGACTATCTGCCCAGCCTCACTGAGGCTCAGGCGCAGCCCTGGGCCCGGGTCTGCGCCATGCAGCTCCACCTGCCCACCCTCCCTCATGGAACGTCTTGAGAGGACGGGTGAGGAAACTTTTGGATGTTTATAAAGAAAGTCTGTCACCACATGGTCTGGCTGTGCTTCCCCCTGCCCAGTGCGCTGAGCTCCATTCTCGGGGGATGGGCAGGGCTGGAATGAGACGAGATCCTCTCCAGGGTGCTCTGTACTCGCTGCCCTTTTCCCTGGGGACCAGTGGGGGCTCTGCACGGCCAGGCAGAGTGTGGGCTGGTGTGGCTGTGCCCATCGCCTGGGTGAGAAGGGGCTCCAGGTCTGAGGAGAGGAGCCCACAGACTCCACCTGCCATCCCTGCCCCAGCAGAATCGCAGCCCTACCTGCCCTTGCTGAGCTGGTGCCAAGTGTTCGGAATGGCACAACTGGGGCAGTGACAGGAGCTGGGTCTCTGGCCTTGAGGGTGAAGAGAAGTGGAGGGACCCTGGAGGGCAGGCCCTGGGCTTGGGAGAGCGGCCTGGCCAAGCTTGGCACTGATAATGCTGGGCTGAGCCAGCTTCTCGGCCCAGGGGGCAGCACAGGGCCCCCCCAAGTTTCTGCCCTGGAGGAGCCCCCTAGCCAGTGGGGAGACCACATAAGCTGCTCAGGCTATTTGGAGCCTGCAGGCCCCAGCTCTGCTTCCTTCCTCAGTTGGACTACAGATCTAAGTTCTGAGCTGGGATGGCAGGTGATGTGGCCCTTGGTTGCAGGGGCCCAGGAGGTGAGGAGGCTGGTGGGGGACCCAAGAGGTGAGGGAGCTGTGAAGCTACTTCAGATGCCCCATCTCCATGAGCTTCTGCCCTCCGGGAAAATCCCTGTGGAAGGGGGAACTGAGGCCAAATCTCGGGCTCACTGAGCCTCAGGCTCCTCACCTGTGAAATGGGCTGGCTCTGGCCCCAGCAGGTGCATAGAGAAGGAGGGCTGGGTTTGGATTTAAGGAGTGTCAGAGGAAAGGACCCAGAAGAAGACCAGAGCCTCCTCAGGCCATGCCAGGAGCAGGGCCCAGGAGCCCCCAGCCTTGTGCCCTAGCACAAGAGGAGGCTTTCTGCCCCTCCTCTTCCACCCTGCCCACAGCCCTGGGCAAACCTCAAGGACCAGGGCCAGGGTTGGCCATGTGGCTCTGGGCAGGCAGCTGCCCCTTCTGAGCACAGGGTGTCCCCTCCTGCTTAAGGGACCACAGCAGTGATCAGGTCCTGGGGGTTCCTGTACAAATCCCTCCTTAATTTCCCAGGAGCCCCTGGACAGCAGGAAGAGTTAGTGCTACATACAGGTCAGGGTGGGGGCATGGTCAGGGTTTAGGCAAGGCTGGGGCCATCCTCAGAGCCGCCATCAGGTCCTCCACAGCCAGGCCACGGCTCCATGCAAGGCCCATGGGGTAGGTGGGGTGGGGTCGCCAGACATCCAGGCCCTGAAGTACGCACAGATGGTGGCCTGGAGCCGGATGAGGGAGTGGGCTGTAGGCGGCGGTGGATGTAGAGAGGGCCCCGGGCACCGCATGCGCCAGACAGGGCATCCAGGTGGCGCCTATTTCATGCCGCTGCGCAGCACCTGGTTGGCCGCGATGAGCATGACACTGATGATGAAGGCGATGGCAAAGGCGCAGATCAGACTCTTGCGCACGCATGTCTGGCGGATCTGCTGGTTGGAGCAGGCTGTGTCCGCCCGCCGGGAACATCAGGGAGCAGGGAAAAACAGAAGGGGACATCAGAGTGATGGGATCAGGAACTGCCTGCACTTCGGCACATGGACTTGTCCCATGGGGCACACAGGGACTTGAAGCTTGGACAGGCAAGGAGGTCCCCAGCCCCCCTCTGCAAGCTCCTGGTATGTCCCCCTGCCCACGCAGTTGAGCCCCCCCGTGGGTTTCCAGGGGCCAGCCACTCACTCTCCACGTCCACAGGACACTCCTCAGCCGTGCCCAGGTGGCTCTCCTCCTCTGTCATGATGATATTCTCTATGTCCTTCATGGACAGGTGCTCACAGAAGGTGTCGTAGAGCAGCCGCTTCAGCTCGTCCACTGTCAGCTTCTGCATGTCGCACTTGGGAGAGGGGGGAGACATGTGCTCTGGCCATCACCACCACCGTCCCCACCCAGCACCCTGCAGCCACCACACAAGCCCAGTGACAGGCCTCCAGATTCTGGAGGGCTGGAAAACCCCCCACAGAGTTCTTGGCCAACACTGCCTCCCTCAGGGAGCCCATGGTCCTCTGGGAGGCAAGACATCAGTGGCCTGGCATGGTCATCTCCCTTCACAGTGTGGACCCAGCCATCCGCTGGCCCCATAACGCCCCACTACAGTGTGCACAGCCCTGGGTCCCAGCCAGCCAGGGCATACCTTCCAGAAAACGGTGTCAAAGTCAGTGCCATGGAACTTCTCTGGGATCCCTGAGGTGGAGAGCTTTGGTCCCAGAAGGGTCACAAACTCCTCAAAGTCTACTTGGCCATCACCTAGAGGGGGCACAGGTCCAATCAGCAGGTCAGGTTGAAGCCTGGCCCAGGCAGGCAACCCAGGGCCCAGAGGACCTGGGATGGAGTCCTGGCCCAGCTTGGGCCTACTATATAACATGTGCCAGGCTCTGGGCTGATGCCAAAGCCACCAAGTGTGATGAGGCCCCACTGTGGAAGGTGGAGGTGAGAACAACATGTGGGCCCTGAGTGGGGCTGGCACTTGGGAAACTCTACCATTTCACTGAGAACCTCCATGGCTTCCCAGCACCCTGTTGCTGTCCTGGGTAGGTGTGGGGCCTGACGCTCTCTACCACAGAGACAGGATATGAAGCTCAGGAGGGACCACCTGCCCGGGCTGTCACCTGCTCTCTGGATGGTGAGGAGGAAGGGGATGAAGAAGAGAGGACTTGGAATTACTGCTCCTTATGAATTTTTCCATAATAAAATGCCAGGTGGGAAGTACACTAAGTTAATGATTTTATTTTGGGTGGTAAGAATAGGGGTATTTATTATAATCTTCCTACTTTTCTATACTTAAAATTTCTAAGAATGCAGAGTACAAGGAGCAGTTTCTGACCCCTGTGTGTGACTGGGGCTGTCACGACCTCTCTGGCCTCAATCCTCCTGGCTGAGAAATGGGGCCATACCTGGCTGCAACCTGCCATGGGCTTTGGAGGGACTGGGAGAAGGGGGAGGGAGAGACCCAGGGTGGGCTCAGCCTCAGTGGCTTAAGCCCCAGACCCTGTCCCACCCCCAAGGCCCAGGAGATGATTGAGGAGACTGAGACAGGGGCCGGTGCTCACCGTCCATGTCCAGGCGCTGGATGATAACTTCCAGCTCCACCTCATTGGGCATGTAGCCCAGGGAGCGCATGGCTGTGCCCAGCTCCTGCTTGGAGATGAAGCCATTGCCGTCACGGTCAAACACCTTGAAGGCCTCACGGATCTCTGTAGGGGGAGCAGAGCAGTCTGGGACCTGACCCCTGTCCACAACAACCCCCTTCCCAGACCCCCAGTATCCCCGAACCCACAACCAGTGCACAGTATTGAGAATCCAAACCAGAGCCTGCAGATCTGGCTAGAGACCATCACTAGGTGGCCGAAGAGTGCACTAGCAGGGCTGTATTCGGGAATCCCAGGGCAGGCTGAGCTGGGCAGCAAAGGTGCACCCAGCCCGAGGCAGTGCCCGCCCTCGGGGTCTTTGCGTGCCACATTCACACAGCCTTTCCAGGCATGCTCACGACGACCCCATGTGGTGGGTACCACGTGCTGCAAAGGACACTGGGTGGCAGCTGCCAAAGGCTTCCCTGCTCACCCCTACTCCTCCCACCCCCATCCCCCATCCCCAGCCCCCTGTGCTTCCTCCCGGGGGCTCGGGCTCGTTAACACTGGCCAACACTCGCTAATGGCAGCCACGCAAGACGGCAGCAGCTCCAGGCTAATGGGCTGACGCTAGCTTGGCACAGACTGCCTCTTGGTTTGGGGGAGGCAGGAGGGGTGGAGGGGCCCCATCAGGCCCAGCCAGGATCAGATGTGGGGGTCACCCTCCCATTGTTTAGAGGGAGAGACTGAGGCCTGAGGACCTGCATGACTCAGAGGTGGGGAGCCTGGGAATGAGCAAACCAGTGTTTGACCTTGGGCTGGCCTCAGTCATATCCACAGTGTAATGGGCAGAATGGTGTGGGATGACAACGGTTTTACCAAAGACACTTGGGGACTGTTAAGGGGGCCCTAACCTCTCACCTTGGCTCCACTTCTGTTTCTCTGCCTTTGTCCCTTAACGATCACAGCCCCAGCAGGGCCCTAAAGAGCATTTGCTTTTGGGGTGGGAATCTCAGTCCACTCACTCAAGCTGGAAACTTGCCAGCTTCCTGGCCTTTGCCCAAGCTGTTCCCCTGGGTGGGATTTCAGCAGGCAGAGTTAAGCTCCTTGTGTATGTGTTTGGAAGTAGACAGACAAAATGCCCCATACTGCACACCCAGAAACTGAAGCCTAGAGAGGCTAGGTGACCAGCCCGGAGTCACCGTTATTGCTGCTGGTGAGGCCGGCCCAGGCCTTAGGGGTCTGTAAACCCTGAAACTGCTCGTAGGATCCTCCACCTTGGAGTCATTCCCTGGTCTCAGGGGCAGCAGGGGAACCCAACTCAGCCTGCTGGCCCCATGACAGACTAGGGGTAATGGCTCAGACAGCGAGGTGGCTTGGGCCAAGTCCTCAATCATCATCAGGCTCTTCCCACCTGGTGTCTGTACCCAAGTCTGGGAGGTCATACTGGCTCACACGTAGGCCAACTCGGACAAACCACAGCTGCACTTGAGCTGCCTGAGCCCCCAGACCTCTGACTCTGGACTTTCACCCACCCATCCAGGCAGGGCCTGAGAATCTGGTCTCCTAACCAGTGACCCAGGGCCAGAGAAGCAGCTGGGCTGGGAGGTCTGGGCCAGGCCCGGGGGTTTGTGCAAACCCTGGACTCTGGGAACTCCGGGCCAACTCCTAGAGTTTTCCTGGGCCACTGAGTAGGTGGTGTGCCCCCTGTCACTGGAGGTGTATAAGCAGAGGCCTGACAGCCACAGGGACTGCTGAGGGAACTCCAGTCACCTGGGAGTTGGGGTAGAGATAGAGGTGCGCGCGCACATGCGCGCGTGCGCACGCACACACACACACACACACACACACACAGAGGTTTCTGACCAGCACCACTGCCTTCCTGGCCCAGCCACAGGCTCTGCCCACCCCAGGCGTCCTGACCTCCAGTCCTAGGGGCCCTCTTGGCCCTGGTGGGCACCAGAACTGCTCCACCTCCAGGCTTTTGAACACACAGCTCCTCTGGCCTGCAGTGCTCTCCCCTCACCATGGCACACTATGATGCAACCCCACTTCTCTCTTGAATGGCACCATCTCCCTGGCACCCTCCCTGCCCCCTGGCTGACCCTGGCCCTCCTCTGGGACCCCACAGATCCTGCTCTTCCCCTCCTTATACTGACCACACTGGATTGTGAACTAGGAGGGCCACAAGAGCAGGGAGTGTGTTGGTCTTGCTCACGGCCATATCCCGGTCACCTGGAACAGGGCCTGTCATTCAAGCATAAATGTTGGCTGAATGAATGCTGACATGAATGAGTGACTGATTTGAGGACCCCACCCACCTGGATCACACAAAGAAGTTCTTCTGCTTTCTGAGCAGAAGTTCACACACACTCAGCCTGAGGCCGTCCCTCAGAGCCCACTGGCAAGCCTAGAAAGAAGACGCACTTGTTTTCCATTCTCCAAGCAGCCAAGATGTGCAAGGGGAGGCTGAGGAGGCTGCTTGTCCCCTTGTCCAGTCCCCAAGGGCCTCAACCCCACCTACCATATGGCCACCCATAGAAGAGGGGAATCAAGATCAGGTGGGGGTGGGGAACCATCCTGGGACCTCCAGGTCAGGGGCTAGTTTGGGGGGGGACCCAGGGTCAGGCACTGGACCTCTCTGAGTCTGCTTTCCTTTGAAGAGGCCCATTAAGAGAGACCACAGGGTGGGATGGCAAAGTCCTGGACTCCCAGTGGGGGCTGCAGTGGGAGCCGCCCCCTCCCCTGCAATGAGCTGAGGTCAGTCTCTCTCTCCCAGCCTGGCAGGGGCCGGGTGAGGCTCCCAGAGCCCAGGGCTGCTGCAGCTGAAGCCCTGGAGGAGACACACTGGGCTGGCGGGGAGACGGGAGAGGGCAGATGAATCTTGGGGTATGTGGTCACGCGACAGGCCCCACGGCCATTTCTCAGGCAAAGCTAACCTCCCAAGACCACTAGGTAAATTCACAGACTGCCACCTCCCCATCCACACGTCCCATCAATTACCCCTCCTCGGCACACCCGGCTCACACCAGTCTTGCTTCCGTGCCTTTGCCTCTGCGGGGAGCCCTGCCCGGCCCCAGCCCCAGCTGACTGCCATCCGCCCACGGAGACCAAGTTCAGGCACCACCTTCTGGGCCAGGGAAGCAGCCTGAAGTTGCACAGACCCAGGTTCAAATCCCAGTTCTCCTCCATCCTGGCTGGGTGACCTTGGGCAGATGTTTGCTCACCTGTACGATGGGGCTGCTGGGATGATTAAGCAGGAAAATCAAGCCCTTAAGTGTTTGGCCACTGGCTCAGAGATGGACGCTGTAAATCAGAACGTCCCAGATGGCAGAGCCGGAAGAAGAGGCAGGTCTGGGTGAACTTGGGACGCCAGGCCGGCCTTCCCACGGGCTGAGGCCAGGACCGGAGCCTGGGGTTGGGATTCTGGCTCTGCCGCTCAGCAGCCGAGTGACCTGCGCAAGGCACTTCCCTCTCTGAGTATCAGGTGCCTCGTCTGTGAAATGGGGATGAGACTCCCGCACCATCGCTATGGCCTGGCCTCTGCTGGGGGCTCCCTGAGTGTGGGGGTGTCATGACTCCCTGTCATCATTGTGCCATTAGCACATCATAGCTGGGTGCATTTCCCCGAAAGCCTTGCTCCCTTCCTGCCCTGTAAGGCCAGGGGAAGCCTACATGCTCCATCTTGGCATGGGGACTCCTGGCCCGGGAATGGGCTGGCAGGGACCCCAGGTTTCCAGGCCGATGCTCTCCCTTACCTGCTACCTCCAGCCTGACACCCCTCAATCCCCTCCCCAACCTGTGGAGCTTCGTCAGGGCTTGAGTCCCCAGCAGGTCCCAAGGGATGCCAGCACACTGTCAGAGCCAGAGTCCAGAGGGGGGGCACCAGCAGGAAGTCACCGGAGAGGGCAGCGTCCGTCCTCTGCAGCGGCCGCCACTCTCCGCGGCATTGGCCCTGCGCCCTACCACTCTGGCCTCCCTGAGCTTCTGGCCTGTCCAGACATGGCTGCTGGACTTGCAGGGAAGAGAGGCAGAAAGGGGACGCCCCAGCTTCCCCCTGCTCCCACTTAGCCACTCTCAGTGCAGGTTCCACTGTCCGACTGGGCAGGCCAAGTGTCAACCCAGAACCTTGCCCTGTTGGCTGTCTGCCTGTCTCTTTCTTCCTCCTCTTTCTGGTCAGAAAGTGCTTGGACTTGCAGCTACCCCATTTCCACCCATGAGTGCTTGAGTCCCCTGATACCCCTGGACCAACCTCAGTGCCCCAGGAGGACTCTGCTATGCATGTAAGTTGGAGAGGGGATGCGTCCCAGCCATGGTGGGGTGTACAGAAAGAATCTGGGCAAGCTGTGCCTCTCCCTCAAGGAAGCTGGGTGGGCCTCAGGTCAGCTCTGCCCTGCCACATCCCTACCCTGCAGTGCCCTGCACATCCTGAGCCCCTGCCTCATGGGCCTTGCACACTTCAGGCTCCTACTCCGCAGGGCTCTCTCCTCAGCCTGTCCTGCTGCTGCGTCTGGGTCCCCGATCACCCACCGCCAGGCCTCATGCTGAGCACTTCCACTGCATCCTCTGTCACCAGCAGCCCTGACACTGCCAACTCCCCTTTTACAGATGGAGAAACTGAGGCTCAGAGAGGCAAGTGATTGCCCAAGGTCACTCCATGTGCCGAGGGTACAGACACTCGATCCCACCACTGCCTGGCTGGGAAGCCCTCATCTTAGTGCCGTGCTCCCCACCTCCCTGCCTGGTCCTCCTCCCTGCTCAGACTGACCGCCCCCTGGATTTCTGCGGCAGGCACATACTGTCTGCAGCATCTCATCCCAGGCTGCCCAGCTCCCTCTTCCTGGCACGTGTGGCTCCCCCACTGATGGCATCCTCCCAGCAAAGGGCCTGGGTCTTACCCAGACTGCCCTAGGACAGGAGCACTAATGAAGAAGTGGAGAGGATGGGAGTTTGGGGGAGGATCTGTGCCAGGGATGGCCACTCTCTCCCAGCCCTGGCATTCAAGGACCACTGCAAAAGGCCTGGGGCATGCAGAAGGCTTTTGGGGTGCCTGCAGCCAAGAAGGGGGTCGGTCGTGGAGGACTTCTTGCCTTCATCTGTAGCTGCCCTCCAGCTGGGAGGTGGGCTGGGGCCATCCACCACCCCCACCTGCCTGCTCCAGGGAGGGCCCTGCCCTTCAGATGCCCCCTGTGCCAGGGCCCCTCTGCTCCCTATAGTCCAGAAGGGGATGGGAGAGAAGCAGGGAGTACAGTCGGTGTGGCTGGTGACTAACACCGCTGGGCTCCTGCCAGCTTGTTCATCGGACTGCCCAAGGGGAGCCAGCGGCCTCCTTGCCCCTGCTGTGCCCACCCTGTGCCTCACCCACCCTGGCAGCCCAGCCTCCTTCAGCTTCTCCTGTTCCTTGGAGTGTGTACTCCAGGACTGGGGGATCAGGAGAGGAGGGACCCAGTGAGCCCTGGAGTGGGGGTGCCAGGATCATGGTAGGAGTGCTGGGAGCAAGGGGAGGGAATGAAGTGGAAGCTGCGGGGGTCTGGGAGACATGATGACCCTTGCCCGAATGACCAGGAGGAAGGGATGGATGAGGGCCTCTGGAGGGGAAAACTGGCAGGAGGTTTGGGGTGACCCAGAGCAGGAGAGAATGAAGGTGGGGAAGAGATGGCCTCTGCCCCATCCTCTGCCTTCTTGGCCCGCATCATCCCCCTCCTTTTCCCAGGCCCTGGAGGAGGCTCTGGCTCTTGGGCTCAGCCCAGATAGGACGGCACCTGGGCTTTGGGGGTGAATGGTGAGGTCAAGTTGGAGGATCCAGTACCCATCCATCCGTCCTGCCTTCATCAGACCCCGGACCCCATCTCCATAGCTCTACCGGTATCTGAAGGTTTGTGAGGGCAGTTGGTGAGGAGCAGTAGCCTTGGTGCAGTGAGCAGGATGGTAGCTGCCTCCACTCTCTCCCGATCGTCCCCCTGACCCAGTCTGACTCCCCCAAGATCTGCCCCCACCTGGGCTTGGGGATGAGGGAGGACCTCCCTCTATGGCTTCCCCTGAGCTCCCATCATCATCCCTGACTGCACTGGTCTCTCAGCTGCACCCCCATAGGCCCTGATGAGCTCCCAGATCTCAGAGACCCCTGGCCCCAAGGTACCCAGAGAGAGGCGGATCCTCTGGGTGATCTCAGCCCTGCCCCCACCAGCAGACAAGCAGATCCCAGGAGGCCAGACTCCTATCAGCCCAGAGCCCCCCACTCCACTCCATATGGGGCCCCAGAAGGTCTGGGGGGAGGGGAAGCCTGAGCACCTCCCCCCAGCCCAGCATGGAAAGAGCTGGGCAGGCCACAGGGGTCTCACTGCTCCCCAGGATACCCTGTCCAGGGACCCCAGTCCCTGTCATCTGCTCTGATCTTGCCTCGCCAACTGCCTCCGGTCCCCATTCATGTCTGAGAGGTGGAGGGACTGGGGTGGGGGGCAGGTTTGGGTCCCTGCCTCTCTGCCTTTCCCTTCCAGGTTTGGCTATCGCGACCAAGACGCCCAATCCGGCCACTTGTTGTCGCCACCGCCTGCCGGGCCGCCTTCCCCGCGCTCCAGGCTGGGGGTTCCCGCAGGGCTGCGAAGAAGGGGCTGCGGCCGCAGGAGGGGATGGGGGTGGCCCCGCAGCGGACAAGAGCCGGGCAGTCGCCCTCTCCCCTTCTCCCGCTGCACAAGCAGATTGGATTTTTAAAGCGACACGAGCGGAATGTCAATGCGAGCGTAGAGCCACGGGCGGGCGCCGCGGAGGGGATCAGGATGCGGGTGCTCCGGCCGGACCGGCGCGGGGGGCGCAGCGCGGACCCTCACTCCAGCCCGCCGCGTTGCCGCACCGTCACCGCGGACTGCGCGGCCCCGTGACCCCGCTGCGGGACCAGGCAAGTTTCCGCAGCGCGGGGTCCACGCGGGCAGGGGCTGGGCCCTCCGCCTTGGCGACCCCCGGCGGGGCGCCCAGGGGTGCGG